CTCCCTTTCGGGTACTCAGTCTGGCAACATGGCAACTTCGTAATCCTGCTTCTAGAGGCACAACAAAGTCCAGCAGCTGGAAATTCAGGTAGATAATCTCAGCCTCAAAATAAGGCAGTTTTGTAGCAGCAAGAATAATTGCATGCTGGAAGATTTTGACAAGGCACTTTTAAAATTTCAATACAACTTTCTCGCAGTCATCTCTAATTCAAGAATTAACTGGATTTTGTGTCTGTGAATTCATCTTGTCCTTTCCTTCATTATCAGGTGTAGGAGAGGAGAGGAGTTCCCACTCTGTTCTTAATGCTCACAATACCCAACACTTTGTGTTTGGGCAGCTGCTTTAATCAAACCCACACTTCAAGGTTTTAATGTGGCTGCCAGTAAGCACCAGGAAATATACCTTTTTTCAGCTTTTCACTTTCCTCTTGTCTGCAGACAGGAGACCAGAAAGAATGAACTCACATTGGTTATTGCATGCTCTGAGGGAAAATTATTTTGTTTTACATACTCAGGATGAATCCTGAACCAAGGAAACTTGGCTCTCACTGCAGCTCACAGATTAGGTCATCTGCTGGGACCACCTGGGCATCTCTCACCTCACAAATGTCAGGACCTCACCTCTTAGTGATGTCTGAGTTTCTCCAGTTCAGCTCCCCAGTGCCTTCAAGCCTTCCTTCAAGCCTCAGAATACATGAAGCCTGAGAGCTTCAGCTTCTGTTCAATAGGAATGTGTGGCCCATATGTTTCTGCTCTTACAGATTACCGTTCACAGACATATTTTGGTGGATACTTCCAGTGCCCTCTGCTGTGGGCACTGGTACAGGTCACAGCCCCTCTGAGATGTGGTGCTAAACAGTTCAGCACAGAACCCACAGAACCCCGTGAAGGGAGGCAAATTGGCTTTCCTGGAGCCGGGAGACAAATCCAGTTTCCCCCTCTCCCCAGCCCATCCTTTTCCTGCAGCTGGGATGCTCTTCCACCCCTGTTAACAAATGTAGGAGTCCTCAAGCACCAACACTAGCCAGACTAAGTTGGGTTTCTTGCTGTTTTTTAGCTAAATTCTGCTTTCAAACACCCTAGTCAGGGATCACCACGAAAGCTCTGCTGCACAGCTATGCCAGAGATGCTGGAGTTAGACGTCTCTCAGCTACATGGAGTCACAATATTGTAAAACATTTATTGTCACTGTGAGCAGACAAGCCTTCCAATGATGCAGGAGCAGGTCTGAATGGGGGAGGCATTTTCCAGAGGAAAGCCACCCAGTCAGAGCAGACTACATTGCTTCTGCTGGTTTAAATCACCTCATTCAATATTCTGTGTTGTCTTATGTAGCATGCAGTTATGTAAATTTATAAATCATACACTAATTAGCACACAATTTCATAAATTTAGTAACAGTGAAAAAGGAGGTTTCTAACTAACCAGGCTGTGCTCTCTCCCCCACAGATGGTACAAATTCAAACACAGGCTGGAGGTCATATTTGAGAAATCTCTGTTGCAACTTCTAGAGTTTAACCCCAGGCTCACATGCACTTTCAAGGGCTGTCTTTTGGATATCTCAGGCTCAATCTCTCTGAAGTGCAGCTAAGCTCATTTCTCTCCTTCCTTAACACCAAACCTCCACAGCTCATTGGATCACTGCAAATTTTATTTGTTTATTCTGATTCTTGCTCTCCAGTCTCCTATTCTTCAGCCATCTAAGTCCCCATCCCTTGCAAGCACTAAGTTCAGTCCATGCCCTGGGCTATACCTGGGTTCTGCACAGTTGCTCTCCATGTGCTCTGGCCTCCCTGCCCAGCTGCTCTAAAGGGGAGATGCTAAAGTTAGGTCAAGGTAATTTCCTTCTTTCCCTCATTTGGCAAGCACGCCTTGGATAGTAGCTCCTCAAATGCAGGAACATGATTTGGAAAAGGGTGTGGAGTCATAAGGCTCTTATGGGAACCAGTGTTTGAAAACATTTCTCACTTTAAGATATAAGCACACAATTGTCCTTCACCTGCTTATTCTAGTTTAACAACTTGTCCCTGCCCTCTGGCTCACTCCCACTTCATCTCCACCTTTGGTACAGTTATCTGCCTTGCATCTTTGTCCTTTCTTGCCTTCACCTCCATCCTTTCTTCCTTACTGTTTAATTCACTTTTTTGTCCCAAAACATGGTGCTGGTTCTTCAATTCTCTTCTCCTTTGTATTTTGAGACCTCTCTCTTACTTCATGCTCCAAAGGAGGCCTTGCTCCTTCTCACAGTAAGACCCATGTCCTGGAGAGGAAGAGAAAGCTTAAAACAAATTCTTCATGTATCTTAGCAAACTGAAGACTCAGAACATAACATGATTTGATGTTGTGGGAAGTGGAACACATTGTCAATGGCAGTATTGACAGCTGAGCTGGACAAAAATCAGAAGATAAGCCAAATAAAAGTCTGGAAGAATAAATTAAACCCCCAGATAATTTATTAGATTAAGACCTCACATACACATATAAATACGTGCTCGAGATGGGATTCAACAGCAAGACTGGAAAAGCTAGAAATGAAAAGGGTGTGATTATTACAGGTCTGTGATGTGCAAGGTGCACAAAAGCAGTAACTACACAAACAGCCAGCAAGTGTGTGTGCACGAACCACGTGGGAAGGACACAAACTGAAGGCATGGGTAGGAGCCTTAGCAGCAGTCATGTTACTCCACAAAGCCCCATGGAAAACACAGCCTGATGTGCAGCTGAAGGATATTCACTGGGAACACTCTGGACAGACAGTCTATGCTGGACCAACTCCCCAGCAGCAGCTCCCAATATAGAAACTCAAACTTAAAAGGACACTGTCATGTCATTGCTTTTGCTAGTTTAATTTTTGCATTTCCTCTACTGTTTTAGCAGATGGAAAACAATTCCCCTCCCAGTACAAACTACTGATTTTGTCCTTTCCTATTTGACAATCATTGATTTTTTTTTCTAAGGCTATAAATGTTTTAATAACTTCAACTTTGTAGTGCCTCATGGCAAAATATCTTTGCTTGCACTGACTGCTAAACACTATTCCTAATGTACTGCTGATAACTAGAGCAAGAGCCAGCATTATAAAAAATTACTTTCCACAGGGTCTGTGAAATTAATAGCTTTTGTTTCTTTTGTCCACATCTCATAGAGAGTTGAAGCATACAGCTCTTCACCCATCAGGGATTTCAACCATCTTTTACTAGAAAACTTTGATTCACAAAGATGTGCCCCCTGTATAGGTCCGACTGACAGACAGCACCTTCAGCAAAGAGCCCACAATCCTGACAATGTCCTTTTAAAAAGAGCTACAACCAAAAATTACAGATTCAAGCCAAAAGTCACCTTGAGAAGTAGAATTTTTTAAGTGATCATAAGAAATCTCAAAGCATTAAATATTGGCACCCACAAAAGAATCAAAGAACAGAATGCTCCCATGGAGTGTTCTCAACACAAAGGCGCCTTTCAAGAAATATACATGTATTTTTTGCTGTTTTGAAAGGTCAGTTAGCATTTATCAGAAAAGGCAATTAAAGTTTCAGTCAAACTGGAAAAGAGACAAGAAGCAATTGGACTGAAATCAGAGAACTCTTTCTCTATAAATGCCAACACTTAAAAAAACACCAGCAAAGCTAAAAAAACACCATGAAACAACCCCAAACTCTAAGATCTATGTGACAGTTATCCCCAAATTTCCTGCTGGTCCTTGTATATTATTCTCTTCTTTCTCCTCCTTTTTCCTGCCCTCTTTAAGCAGCAGACTACTCAGCCAACAGAATAAGAAAACTTATGTTCCCATCTGTTCTACTTGGGCCAGGGCACTGAGTACATCTTTGGGGCTCTTAGCAGAAACCTGGGCCTTCACAGGCTCAGGGAGTAGAACAAGAGGGACATTCAACAGCAGACAGACATATTCCATAAAACTGTAACACCTCACTAAAAGCAGGACAGACCATGCAGGGACTTGCCACAGCAGTAATTTTCTGGTCCAGCAGTGCTGCTTTTCTCCTTTAAACTCCTCCAAGCAGCTTTTAAAATTCAGCTGGGATGCACAGAAAGGATATCACCTAATTGTGATTAAGACTGGGCCTGAACAAAGCAGCCCAGAGTAACCTGAGGTTCTACTTCCCCTTCTCTCTCCTTTTGTTTCACTGATGGAGCTGCCAGGGGCTGCGGTGCTCTCGTCTGAGATCCACCTTGCAGAGCATCACACATTGCACAGGAGCAGCATGGGGAGGCAGGCGGCAGCCATACCCCAAGCATCAGTACAGCAACTCAACCCAGCCATTAAGATAAGCAGGGTTGCCTAAAGAGACTGTCTGAAAAGCAGTACTGGCCCATGAAGTGGTGTTTGGGAGCAAATGGCCTAGAACTTGCCTGAACTGGATCAATTCTACCTTTCCCTTGCTGCAATTTTACTGTGCAAAATGAGTATTTTAGTCTCATATTTCTAAGAACACATGCCGGTGGCTACTGTTACAATAAAATATGAACACTGCATTGTGGAGAAAATGACCATTAATCCTGTAATGTGCAGTCATTTTTACCAATTCGGCACATTTCTTTAAATAACCAAGTGCATGCAATAGATGGAAATGCATTTAAATAAACTGAAATAGATACAGCATGAATAATTAAAGCTGGCAGGAAAGTGTGCATTGTGAGCTGCTAGTGGAAATAATTACTGATTTGTCTTATTTACAATGGAGCCTGGATGCAGGATCAAAATAGTGCAAGTTAGTGAAAATGTCTTAAGACTGCTCTTATACTAGCACTACTATGTATTTCATCTTGAAAAGTACATCAAATCAGTTTTGGATCTCTACGATGTCTGACTCTGTTCTGCTGTTTCAAGGGTTACATTACCCAGCACATAAACTCTGTCAAATAGCACTGATTTAAAGAGGAATATAATTCAAACCTGTGCCTAGTACATCTACCTGAAACATCATCTATTAACATTATCAGACATTGTAGAGTTAAGCTTACAATATATCCCCTAAAAACTCAGTGTGTTAAATATCAGAATGTTGAAGGAAAAAGTAGATCATAAAATCAGTGAAAAAGTACTAAAGTGCTTGTACCTTTATAATATGCCAGGTTTTAAACAGACTTGTTTAATTAGAAAATAATCTACTTTGAACATGCTGGTTGTTGAATGTTAGGCAGTTCTTGCAAACTGCTTTAGAGCAAAAAAAATCAATAATGAAATATACTTTCGATATAAGGCTGGCAAAACTGTGACTTCAATGTATTAGAAAATGTTGTAGATTTTAAAAAAATGCTATTGTAAATTGATTACTTGGCACATGAAAGGTTTAGGGAAAAAGTTAACACTTTCTGATTGGCGTACCCCAACAATATACTTGCATCATGATCACTAAATCCAAAATGAACCTGGATGCTAATTGGCTATGTTTTAGAAGAGGGAAAACAAGCAGTGATCACTCAAATAATTTCAGACGAGGTGCAGACCAAGGAGTAGTGTCAAATGAAGAAGATCTCCTCGAGGAGCCGACTCTCCTCCAGCTCATCCGCTCTGCTCCTGGGGCTGCAGGGGCTCTGGCACCAAGAGGAGGACAGCCTGTGGCTCACACAGCAGGGCAGGTGCGGTTTGCTCCTGTCACAAGGTTCCCAGCAGAGCTGTCCTGGAGCTGATACTGGGCTCATAGACTCCACCAGGTCAAGAAGAGAGGCTTGGTACCTACAGAAACACACCAAGAAATCAGAGCTCTGTTAAGATCACAGCACCATGCAGGAATTGCATCCAGTTTTCCTGCCTCCATAAATCACACCAGACCTAGATTTGTTTGACAGGGGCCACCGGCACAGAATGAATTTTGCTGTATGGACTCCTGTCAGTAATGATAACACAGAGCTACTGAAAAAGAGGCAAGCAAAGCATGGGTGCTCAGGTTATTTTAGGCTGTTTCATCAGCTTTTCCTTTTGAGGTGTGTAATGTTTTAGTTGCACTCTGGAGACTGAACACAGACCTCAGAGAGATGACAGCCAAATACGCCAAACAAGGCAGACCCACACTGGTAATGGTAAGGTGTCTTATACACATGCTGCACTCTTTTTTTTTTTTTTTAATAGACCTCTACATTTGATTTAGTTTCTCAGGGATTTGAAAACAGCAGGAGACTTTATTATTATTATTACCACAAACTACACGTGCTTCCTGTAAATCTCTGTGTACTATATGGAGTCTGTCTGGTGGAAGCAGTGAAGGAATAGAATCTAAGTAAGGCAATACAGAATCAACACTTGAGGCACCAAGAGAAAAGGCAAAGGTGCTAAGCATCACTCAGGCTGTCCTTTAAGTGCAAGTACAGAGATGAGGGAAGGTTGCAAGCCAATGTGATCTGGTAATGCTCACTGAATAATGGCAGGCACTTGAGACAGGGACTTTCTATTATTATTCACAGGAGACAAGACTTCATCTAAATACCAGCACAGGATTGATCATTACAATATATTTCCTCCTGTCCAATTTTAAATGTCTTAAACAATACCATTTCCACTGCTTCCCTAGGGAGCCTGTTCTCCAGCGACCTCTCAGTAATATGTAAGAGATATCACTCCAGAGTTTTACCCAAAAGTCCCTTTGTTCCATGCTGTTGTTAGCACCAACCTGCCTGATATTCCCAACCCTAAAGTGACTCACACATTCAAAGGCTTCCATGCACAAAACATTATTCACATTTTTCACCCAAATGAAACTATCAGCACAGGTGATTGGATCCATAGGGTATCTCTCTTGTAAGCAAATAGTTCATCTATAGCATGAGGAAACATCTCAGGCTGGTCTCTGCTTTGAGAAAAGCCTCTGTTTTTACTTTTGTGACTGTAAGAACCTAGAAAGACTAAGCAACCAAGACAGCTGTGGGAGGTTTCTCAACTCAGATGGGTTGAAAAATCCTTAAGAACAAACATCTACAGCAGCTCATGGATGTGAGAGATTAGCAGTGGCCCATGTACCTTCTAAAGGCAGACTCCCACCTGTGCTGTCCAACAGCCTTGTGCAGCAGCAGCAGGTAAAAGGCTTTCCCACACTGAACTAGCCATGCCATGAAAAATGCCCTTCTTGATCTCCACAAGTGCTACGTCCCATCCGTCACCAGAACACTGTCACAGAATCATTTAGACTGGAAAAGACCTCCAAGGCCATCAAGTCCAACCTTAGATTGGTCACTGCCCTGCCAACCAGACCAGGGCACTGAGTGCCACATGTGGTCATTTCCTGAAAGCCACCAGGGATGGTGACTCCCCCACCTTCCCAGGAAGCCCATTCCAGTGCCTGACATGACAAGTTACTTCGCCCATGACAAGGTAACTCATTGTTATGTCTGAGAAACAGAGCCACTCCCTCAGCTCAAAGGAGTTAGCAGTGGCACTGATGGGTTAATACCAATCCTAATGGTGACTACTGAAGTTATCCTATAAAAGCTATTTCTTTCAATTTTTATTGTTTCTTCCAATCTGATGGTCAGTGTCATTTCTAATACAGTCTGACTTGACATTACTGCCTCACAGGGCTCTCTCCTGTTTGACTACAGGTTGTTTTATTTTCCTGCAGATGTGTTAGATTTAATCTCACTCACAATCAAAAAGTTAATTTGCAAATTTCTTTTCCACATTTTAAGCTTGTCTTTCTATTATCTAAGTAGCAAAATATTAGTGGCTCAAAATGAAAAAAATACAGCTTTTGTTTCAACTGGATCTTGTTCATGGCTAACCCTAAGCAAACGTGATGTCTTTTAGTTACCCTAAGAAAAAGTTCAGAAGGACGTAGAGTTTTGGGTAGCCAAACCAGATCATTCTAGAGAAATCTGTTGTTTGTACTATCATTCAGAAAGTACCCTTTAAAAACTGAAACTCCTCAAAGATATTTCCAACATAAAATGGAATGAGCTGCACTGATAGCAAGAACTAGCACACAGATATATGAGATTTTTCACATGGAGAAAGTTTAAGACTAGACTCTATATAGATACACACATATGGTTTGAACCCCAAAGAAACCCAGTTAACACACACACTGCTTTCATTAGCCACACCTAAAACTTCTTTTTAGATTAATCTAGTCTAGCATACAAATGCTTATCTCCTCTGACGGTAGTGCTATCATAAAATTTCAATTTGTCCAGCAGCCACATGCAATCACAGATTAGGCAGGGGAAACCAAACCAGCCAGTGCATTTACAGCAAATGTGCAGGCCCTAGATTTCAGCAGTACCTTCGAGTTCATTTCTTCTGCAAGTTTATCTAAGTTTTACAGCATTTCTGCTATCAGGAAAGCTAAATGATTTGGCAGATTACAAGCGCAGCAAATAGCAAAGATTATGTAAAAGACCAGGTGTTGTAAATCAGTCTATTTGACACCATAGTTATATATGCAATAAAGTGAATGAACTCTGCTAACAGAGCACTATCTGATAAAGAGAATGCTCCTTGCAGGTATTTAGTGTTTAATCCCAGGATAATGGTTTGCCGGGTTAGTCTAAGCAACATCAGACAGCATCTGGCTGGAGGCAATAGAGTACACCTAGAATGGTTTGAAACTTGCAAAGACAATTTTCTCACAATTTATTTGTAACCCAATATTTAAAAAGGCACAGTCAGAATGCTTGACTCCAACTTTCTCTGAAACCAGGGTATGTATTCTTTGCATTACTTGAATGAAAAAATAAGTAAAACCAGGCTTTATTATTATTATTATTATTATTATTATTATTATTATTATTATTATTACAACACTTGATGGCTTCAGTGAAGTCAAAGTTACAGGATCACGCACACAAGAGTCAGAACATTTCAAGCAGGAAAACTGATTTGGCAAACTTGGCTTGTGAATAGTGAATGCTCTTTTAAAGGAAACTAATGGCCAAGGGTTCCCTTGTGTTGTTACTGCTTCCAGAGGAGAAAAAAATCCCAACATTCTACAGAAGTACCAGCACTGTACATTAAGCCACATACAGAAATTCCTCACGTATAGATGTTCAATCAAGCAACCAAATGTCCCATCAGTGCTGGTGCTTATGCACATTTCTTTGATAGGTTTTGCCCTCCCAACAGAGGGAAAATGGCATGGGCAACTGTCCCTTTAAGGATGGTGATAATTCAGTCTGTCCTCACTTTTTTGGTACATTTGCCAGTGTGCTGGAAGGTCAGTGAGCAAGGGGAGTGTAACCCAGGTTCTTGTTAATGGATCTCTTGGAGTGGATTAAAATGAAATGTCACACAGTCCAATGGGTTAAAATATATTCAGGCTCAGTGGGAATGCCCAGGTACCTCCCCTGAGTAGGGGGGAACTTTCATGCCTCTGGTGGAAGGCCTCAGAATTGAGTCTGGGGGCACTTAGGGAGTCTTTGATAATTTATGATCCCTTCTCAGGGACTGCCTCTCATTTGAGCCAATAATGCTCCATCAGATCTTCCCTGGGGGGAAGAGGGCAGTTTAACAACTGAGGGAGTTATGTAAGGAAGAGCAATTAGCATAGCAAGAAGCACCATCTTGCCTTGCAGGATCCAGGCTGTGATAGTTCACCTCTTCTGTCTCATGCAGACTAGCACATGTACACCCAAAAACTCACATCCTCCCTCGAGAGATGCAAACCTGTCCTCCGCAAAGCACCCTGGCACCTCCACAAATGGGCAAATGTTATGAGTCATTAATCATTAATAGTCCAGTCTCTCACAGCATCTCCGCAACAGACTGGAAAATAATCTCTTTTTTTGACACTTCTCCGATGTATACTTTTTCATCTAACTTTAATGAGCTTGAAAGTCTGCATGTTTCATCATGGGAGAAGAAAATTTCTAAGGTCTACAAGTTTGCATTAGAAGTCTAACTATTTAGACAGATAAAGTTTGGTGAAAGCAATCTTCTAAAGTCTCCAAAAAATTCATCAGGAGACAGAACATTAAGAACTAGTGTACAAAGCAGAAGGAAGGCAGGGCCATAGGCTCTCTATAGAGAATAGAGACAAGAGTAGGGAGACTAGACCACAGTAAGCTTTGAAGCTCCTCTTTCAATGAAGAACTTTCACCTTTGCTTTTATTGTACAACATAAAACTCCAAATACAGCTCAGAGAGCAGCACAGAAATGCTCAGTCTGGGAGGCTGGCACAACTGGGATCAAGCTGGTCCAGTTGCATCAGAGCAGAACTGTGACCTGCGTAGCAAAATCCACCCTGGTCAGGCGTTGCACAGTGCTGTGAAAGCATTCCCTTCATCTCCTCTGCATTACTGAAACAGGCTGCTAGAATTTTGTCTCCTCAGCCACTAAAACCCTTTTGCAAATTTTATTAGAAACTCTCAGCATTGGCTCTTAATTAAATAAGTATCTAGTAGAGTTTATAACTCTTAATGTAAGAGTTTTGTAGTCTATCACTAAGATAACAGGAAACATCATAAACCATTATGATTCAGAAGAGTTCATTAACCATTCACATTTTAAAAAGGAAAACAAAAATAAACACAAGATGGCACAGTCCCAAATCCCTCTTTCCACAGTGTGTCTTTTTCGCTGCTCAAGCAGCAGGAATACAGCTCTCTGAACGCCTACAGGTGAATCTTACTTTGTCCCATGTTTCCAAACTGAACGGGAAGGAAGGCTTCCACAATTTTATGATGACCACACAAATACTGCTGATGCTCTGGGAACCATAAGACCACTTATGTCCAGGATGGTTGGTGAG